AACACATAATGATTCACAATACATGTACTACATGTACAACACACATAACAAATAACAAAATTACCACACATCATAAGCTTAACAATACTAACACACATGTCGAGTCGCTACACTACTAACACATGTCGAGTCACTACACTACTTACACACATGTCGAGTCACTACACTACTGATATATAAATTACAAATAACAACATTAACTCACATGATGAGCTATACCAGTAACACGTATAAAACAAGTTCTGTGAGCCATTATGCTCATTGGTAATCCCCCCACCGTGATGTGAATATACATAATCATGTGAATATACACAAGTTCAGCTATGGACAGACGCACTGATAAACAGGAAGTTGACATCAGATTCATACAAAAATAAATCCCACCATATGGCATGCCTCAACAAGAGTGTGCTAAAATTTCAAGCATCTGCAATGAGTTGTTGCTTAGAAAACTTTGACAAAAATTTGTTCCATATTATACAGACAGATGCACAGATAAACAGGAAGTTGACATCAAATTCAGAAATGAATCCCATCATATGGCATGCCTAAACAAAAAGTGTGTAAACTTTCATGCATCTGCAATAAGTAGTTGATGAGAAAACTGCAACAAAAATTTGTTATGTATGGTATAGACAGACACACAGATAAACAGGAAGTTGACATCAGACTTGTACAAAAATGAATCTCAAAATATGGCATGCCAAAACAAAGAATGTGCTAAAATTTCAAGCATCTGATATGCCTATATGTAACTACTGAAAAAACTGCAATGAAAATTTGTTATGTATGATACAGACAGACGCACAGATAAAGAGGAAGTGAATTGGCATCAAATTCATACAAAAATGAATCGCACCATATGGCATGCCCCAGCAAAGAGTGTGCTAAAATTTCAAGCGATAAGTAGTTGCTGAGAAAACTGAGACGAAAATTTATGTCTGGTACGGAGAGACACATGGATAAACAGGAAGTTGACATCAGATTTGTATAAAAATGAATCCCACCATATGGCAAGCCTAAACAAAGAGTGTGCTAAAATTTCAAGCATCTGCAATGAGTAGTTGCTGAGAAAAATGTGACCTAAAATTTGTTATGGACAGACAGACAGACACACACACAGCTAGACACAAAAGGATAAAACAGTATACCCCCCCCCCCTCTCCTTCGGAGCGAGGGTATATATAATTATACATTTCAAACACATAAGTCACCATACTACATGTACAACACACATAACAAATAACAAAATGACCACACATAATAAGCTACAGTACTAACACACATGTTAAGTCACTACACTACTAACACACATGTTGAGTCACTACACTACTAACACACACGTCGAGTCACTACACTTCTTACACACTTGTCGAGTCACTACAATACTAAATATACACTACAAATAGCAATACTAAAACACACGATGAGCTAGTAACACACATAAAATTATACATTTCCAACACACGAGTCACCATACTACATGTACAACTTACATAACAAATAACAAAATTACCACACATAATAAGCAACACTATTAACACACGTCGAGTCACTACACTACTAACACACATGTTGAGTCACCACACTTCTAATATATACATTACAAATAACCATTTTAAATCACACGATGAGCTACATGTATACCAGTAACACATAAAATTATACATTCCCAACATGAGTCACCATACTACATACGTACACAAAATTACCACACATCATAACCTACACAGCTAACACACATGTCGACTCACTACACTACCATTCATATAATGATATATATAAATGAGGTCATATAATGAGTCAATACATTTACAATAGAGTCAACATGCTCCTAAAACACACTTATATTAGGTCATCATAGCACTTGTTACATGTACTTACACATGAATCACTATTGGGACAAAAGAATTCTTTAGATGAACGTGTACTTGTTATTTAATCTTTGTCTAGCTGTTATGATATTTTAACACCAAATTTTATACTCTTTCTTGCAAATTCAAAGATTGTTCTGCTTTCTGGAGGGGCATTTAAACACTTCAATTGACCACGATCAAGTCATACTGACTAATTCCACTCCACATTGGCACTCTACTATGGCTATTTTTCTTTTGTCCACACATTCTTTACAAATGGAACTGAAATACATATATAATAAAACCATTAAAGCTTTTACATTAAAATGAAATAAAATATATCAATGATCAAGTTTCCAATCTTAATTAAGACACAACAACACTTCTTTAAAAGCAAAAGGACAAGAATAAATTTAAAATTTAAAATTCCTAAAATAGCTAGTTAACATTTTGTGTATTTGATTTGTATTAAATGATTATATCCTTTAGAACTTGTTAGCCTGTTGAATTACTGTAAATGTATAATATTTAGCGTGTAAGATATTTGGCAGAAGTTGATTATTGAGCAAGTTAGCGGGGATTTGATTTAGTGCATTTGTTAATGTTTATGTGTATTTGTGCATGACATTTAGCATTGTACTTGAATTAGCAGACATTGCTTTCCGCCAAAGGCGCTAAAAAGAATACAAAGTGAAAAGTAATATGTTTACAGTATATTCACAACTTAACATACACTTTCTGAAATTTTGGGTTAGGCCATTCCAAGTTTTTTCTCTGTTTAGCATCCACCCATCTTTCAAAAACCTACTTACCTATTCGCAAAAAACACACAAACCAAAAAAATAAAACAAAGACTTTATAGTCGTAAAAATGACGTCATTCAAAAGATTTGATTTTATAAATCTATTTTTCTCTTAGAAAGATCTATTCTTCAGCAAAACCGAGGTATTAAATGCTTAAAATATTCCTAATATGACATCTTGTAGACAAATATTTATAGAAATTGACAGAATTCAAAGATTTTGACCAGAATAACTGATTTCAGGACTCCTTATTATGTTCCCCAAACGAAGTTTGGGAATATATTGTTTTTACTTTCTTTTTTCGAAATTTCTTCTCCGATACTTTATTGTCCGCGAGTGTTCTCAGAAACTACTCATCCGATTGAGATGAAACCTTTTTAGGGTTAATAGGCATGTGTGTAGATGTGCGGAACAAAGGTCATTTTGCATGCACGTGCGCGCGCGTGCGATGAGTGAAATGGCTGATATACTTAATATAGCCATAACTTTTATATTTCTTGATGAATTGCTTTGAAACTCAGAATATAAAATTACATTAGTAGTCTAGACAAATGACTTGGTCAAATTAGCATTAACCCACGTGCATGCACTTCACTCTGATTGGCTGATACAAAAATCTCAATAACTTCCTTGTTTTTTTGAGAAAACACATTGAAATTTAAAATATACATGTAAGTATATATTATAAGGTTCTACAACATATTATATAGGATATTGCTTGAAAACACGTGCATACAGATGTGCTGCAATCCGATTGGCTGACACTTTAAATGACTATAACTCCCTTAGTTTTCAACTAAAGAGGATGAAATTTATAATATAGACAGGCACATTGGGCTCCTACAGTACGATACTTTCAAAATTGAATGCAACGTCATGCCTGTGCATGTGCTGAATTCTGATTGGCTAATATTTAAATGGATATATCTCTTTTATTTTACAATGAAATTCTTTGATATTTAACATAAATGTATATATTGTGAGACACTATAAGAAAATTTATGTGTTAAATGTAGAAAGCACGTGCAAGCACATGCGCTGAAATTTGATTGGCTAATACCCATATGGCTATGTCGGAGTAGTTTTCCAATAAAATACCCTTAAAAATAAAGTGTCCATCTATATTACAAAAGTATTGTCTAATTCAATGAAGCTTGCAGGGAATGGGGCATCATAAGGGATTGGGGAGCCGTTTGGGGAACATCTGTAATGGTTACCGTTACAATTAGCACTAGTTCTGTATGTTTTTTCTGATATGGGGTGTCAAAAACCAAGGCACACGCAGACGCTAAACATAGAAAAAAATTGGAATGGCCTTATCCTTTTCTTTTGCCCTTGCCATTAATTTCCTTTCAAGCTTTCCAGTTTAAAGAGCCAAACTTTAATCTCATCTTCTTCTATAATTTACATATCAAAAGGTTGGAATCTTTACAGTTAGGACTATATAAGTACTCACAGAATACATGCACCTAGACAAATAAGGATTTTTCAAAATAAAAACATGCATCCAAGCAAGTCACTTATAAGAATATTATAAATGAAAACATTCAACAAGCTACACAAATTAGATTCATTTAGCTTTTCCTGTATATTTATCTGTCTCTCATTAGTAACATATATTAATAAATGGAGTAAAATGAAAGACCTAATTTTAATTACACTAAAAGTCTACCAAGTAACAGTAATATGTAATTAATTTTATATGTTTCATAATGTGCATAAGGAGATGGGTGAACAAGGCATGCAAAAAGCCTATAGCTTCAAATGTATAAAAGTCATATTCAAATACTGAATTTAGTATTGAGAGTAAAGTTCTTCTTTTTGAAAGGTATAACATTATACTACAAACAAAACTTTTCTGTGGAAAATTCTTTAAGCAAAAATCATTCTATGATTAAAAAAAGTGGTATTCTTGGGGTTCAAACCCAAGCAATGAAATTAAATCCTCAGTTTTTTTCTTACAGACTAACATGCTAACCACTACACTACATACATGTAGCTCATGACAAAAATGGACATTTACATATGTAAATCACGTTTAAGAATGTGACTCTTGACTAAATGGATTTCAAATATTTCTCTGAAAGATATGAATGTTGTTGTGACATAAAAATGCATTTTTTTAGAAGAGTAGGTCATTTCACCATGTTTTTGTCAACCGAAATAGGAAAAGTTTTAAATATGCTTCGAGTATAATCTTACCAAAATATGGAGTGAAGACCTATACTCATATTCAAAAAGTATGATATAGGAGGAAAAAATGATCATTTTTGCCCTCTTTTGGTGTGTATCTGCTATTTCATAGATCAATAGTATTAATCTTTATAAGATTGTAGCAAATTGCAAAGATTTTACATAAAGTATACATTAATGTTAAATGAAATATCAAAGAAAATTTTGACATGATTAAGATTTAACTCTTTAAATCTTTTTTGTCACACAATGGGCATTTACTTGCCTTGTTCGCCCATCTTCTTTATCAGTAGATAAGGTTTATGATTCAGACTGCATCTGATAATCCATCACTAAAATGTAAAATCATAGAAATAACTGCACTATGCTCACTTTTTTCCTCCCAGAGCTCTTCTTTTCATCTTCAATTTCTTCCTCTTAATTTCCCTAAACTTTTTCTTCTATTGCAAGTTCTGTAAAAAAAAAAAAATCCAATTCAATAAACTACTAAACTGACAAAAATTCAGTTTGTCAATTTTCATATTTTACCAGATTCATGAAAAATCTGGGCATACTGAACTTTTTTAGTGATTTATCTGAGGAAAGAGTGGTTAGTACCTTATTCATTTTCAAGTACCTGCTTGACTTTGACAGAAACGTTTTGGTACTAGAATGTGGAATACATACTTTCCTCATTACCTAAAATATTTCCATGACCTCAAATTCACTTATATTTCTTGCTGCTATTAAAGCCTTGTCAAGAAATAACATTTTTCCCCTATAAGAGGGATCAACTAACAAGTTTCCAAGTGTGCAGCTTAATTCACACAAAAGAAAAAAAAAACTTAACTGAACAGATTTACAAGTACCTGCCAAGAAGACTAGAAATGCGTCTTGATCGACATTTTCAGCCTAAGGTAAAGTCAAGGCATAGTCATGTAACATGTAACATTTTTCATGATGAATTACCTATATACAGTCCAATCTCATCATCTTAAACTAGATGACACAAAGTAAAAAAAAAAATAAAGATGTTCCTGGGTTCCAGTAAAGAGTACTAAAATACCGCTTAATCATACAATCATGTAATTATGGAGAAAATGAACAGTAATCAAGCTCAAGAGTCCATAGAAAAAATACAAATCAGGAGCAGAGCAAACACGGACCTATAAAAACATCAGAGGTGGGATCAGGTGCAATATAGGAGTAAACATCCTCTGCCGATCAGTCACATTCGCTGTGTGCTCCTTGTCATGATCTGGAAAACGGAAAAGTCTGTAGACAATTCAATGTGTAAACAGACAATTCAATGTGTAAATAATGGCCTAACAATTAGTATTAAAAACATCAGTCTGCATTCGACTTAATGATAGATTGTTTTTGCTGACCAGGTCATTGTATTGACCATAGCTAATTACACACATGCAAGTCACTACATCCAGTCAAAGTTGATGTTTTAATTTTTTTCTAAAAATATTTATGAAGGAATAAGATAAGTACCCGGTAATTTTGTTGATTTGAAGAAATACATTGATTGGGAAGGGGGGGGGGGGTACTGTGATAATAATTACCTAGTCCTTTTTCATTCTGCCTTTTTCTTTATCTCTTTCCCTTTCTCTTCCATTCCACCCTCCGGCTCATTATCTTCCATCACTTCATCCCCCTCAGAAATGGTTTCCAGTACATATAAAGTACTTGATGAATGACTTACTCAAAATTATGGACCCATGATTTAGTTGTTGTAATAATGTTACATGTACACACACTGCAAGTCACTGTGCCCTGTAAAAAATGTTACCTTCTTTATTTATATTTAAGGGTCAAGAACTATATATTAAGAATTCATTCTTAAGTTTTACAAAAAAACTATATAAATCAGGATTTGGAAGGGCTTTGTAAAAATACTGTGAGATACATATGTAATAACCTTGTTCTTTCTTCATCTTGTCCTCCTTGTTCTTCAGCTTTTTCTCCATTTCCTGATCTTCCTTCATTTAATCTTCCTTAGTAGCTGCTTCTAGTAGAAATAAATATCAATAAAATAAATAAAAAATCTTGACTCAAGAAACAGTAATGGTTACACATCTTATAAAAAAAAAGAACATTCTCAGAATATTTGTGAAGAACTAAATAAGGATTTTATCTAATTAAAGTAAAAGACATTCCTATCAAATAGAAAACAAGAAGTCTGTGAGCCAATGCTCACTAGTAATTATAATTCCCGCACTGATTTGAATTTGGTACGGACAAGCACAGGGATAAACAGGAAGTTGACATCAAATTCATACAAAAATGAATCCCACGATATGGCATGCCTAAACAATTTAAAGGTGTGCTAAACTTTCAAGCATCATCCTTGAATAGTTGTTGAGAAAACTGTGATGGAAATATAGTATGGACAGAATTGGAAGGATAAACAGGAAGTTCACATCGGATTCCTACAAAAATAATTCCTAAACTTAGCATGCCTAAACAAAGAGTGTGCTAATATATCAAGCACCTGCAATGAGTTGTTGCTGAGAAAACTGCAACAGAAATTTGGTAAGGACATGGATATACATGTATAATAAATATGACTATTATTTAAATCATGGTTCTGTCATTCCATGTAAACTTTGATATTCTTCTGTGGCCCTACCCTACCCCTGGGGGCCATGAATTGAACAAACTTGAATCTACACTACTGGCATTTCAGGAAGCTTTCAAATACATGTAAGTTTCTCAATTAATGTAAAATTGGTCATTTTCATTGGGTTAAATTTTCATGATTTGAGGGGATTTAACTTGTGGTTGAAAAAAAAACAAAAACATGACACTATATAGCATAAAATTTCAATATTTGGTTTCACTACAGTGTATACTAGTAGCTTAACACTGTACGGGGTTTCTTTTATTGTGCGTATCCTGAAATGATACCTTGATTTTTAAAATTTCATTTGAAAGACATGCATCTTTCACTTCTATAGTCACGGCTTAGTGATCGAACAATCTCATTACCTATTTCAAACATCTTGGATTGACAAGGTGCTAGGAACAAGAATTGAACAGGGACCTATTGATTATAATGCGAGTACCGGCAATAAATACCGTCTAGGCTACTGTGATTTGTCAGTTTCAGGAATTAAGATAAGGGATATTAATAATGAACACTTAAGTAATTATTGCAAAATATAAAGTCTAAACACTTGGGAAAGACTATGAATTATATATTAATTCTACTGATTTAGTTAAAAGTTTTTGGTAGAGACTGATAAAGGAGACTTAAATTTTCAATTCAACTTTCCAGCATCATGTTTTATACAGTGTAAGCATGGTCTGACTAGACATATGCCTGAGATTTTCTAATGTCAGGGTTTTTGACACTAATGTTAGTCGGTTAGTCTCATCAGACTAATACATTTTCATTTGGACTAATAAAATCTGTGGGTAATAAGTCCGAACAGACCAAGGAAAAATGAATAAATTATGATTCTCAACAACCTTTACTAAAAAAAACCGGCATGTATTTTTAGCTTTCTAGCTTCTTGGCAGGTAGTAAGGTAATTCAGAGTCAAGTTGGCGCTCAAATTTTACGACTGACTGATGTGAAATTAGTAAACATTTTAGTGATCATGATTTAGTCCTGTGCAAACAATTGAGGTGGATTCCGCCCAGAATTTGACTGGACACCAAGGATATTCCACTTGGAATGCACAAATTCCAGGCGTAATACAGGGGGAGACTGAACCTTCTGATATTCCGTCTCAGAGATTCCGCCTAAATTTAACAGATTCCAGTCATCAAATTCCAGGCTGAATTTAGTTCAGGGGGAAAATAGCTGGAAATTATAAAAAGAAATACTTTGGACAGTTGAGACGGAATCTATATTCAGAAGGAATCCTGTTATTTCAATTCTAGGTGGAATTTCAATTTCCATGCAGGCAGAATGTCAATTTCCAGGCGGAGCTAATTTACATTTTCGCCACAAATTTTCAGCTAGTCTCCGCTTGGTTAACGCTTGGTTTCCGCTTATATTGCTTTAATAGTTATAGTAAGTTTTACGCCTGGAATTTTACCCAGAATTCTGTCTTGATTACACCTTTTTCTCCATGTGGAACATTTTGTACAGGGTATGATACATAAAAAAAGATGTCAAACATTTTGGGTGTAAAGAACGAGATTAGGAATATAATCATACTTCCTGCATGATCATGAGATTTTAAAAAATCTTTGGAATAAAACACTTCATGTAAATGCAGTGTTTCTTTCAAAAAACTATAAAAAGTACATGGTAATGTTTATTTTTAGATAAATCGTTACAAAACACTGATCTTTCCTTTTTTGACAGACTCATAAAATCATGAGTGAAGTAGTAAAAGAAGCACTAGACATGCAAAGTCAGGACATGTTTGTTGAAACACCCTGTATTAAAGAGATTTCAACTCTTATGTATTTGTTTAATCATTCATTCCACCCAAAACAAAAAAAGAAGCTTTTTAAAACAATTCTACTTACGCATTAAAAGTACTGCCATCTTTTTTCTACTGGTGAAGATTCAAGATGTAATTAAATGGGTTTAATTTGTGTTTACTGGCCAATAGTTTTCAACACCATCTGCAGGAACCTTGAAGTTTTCCTGTATCACCATGAACCTAAAAAAATCGATGTTATATATTTCAGTATCACAAAACATGCACCTAAAACATTCACAGACAGACATTACACACAAACAAACCTTCCATGTTCCCTTTATCAGCTGTTTATGCCATAATTTGAAAATAATCATAAATTATGAATTTGCTTCATCTTGCACTGTTTTAAGTCCCAATATTGTTTTGTTAAATAATTAATACAGGTAAAAAGCATGTTTTACTGACCATGGTGACAAATAATACATTAGACAAAATTAATACATGTATCATGCTATCAATAAGATATGAAAAATGTTAGCGTGCATGTTCACACACACTTGAGTAAGTTGACTGACTGCTTCCAAAGAATGTACATGTCCTTATTCATGTAATCCTGTTCCATGAAAATAGTTTTCATTTATACCCCTTTATAAAATGGCACATGCATGTCACTTACATACTGCAAGACTCTGCGTACATTGAGTACACTACTTTCACTTTGACCTTGAACTTGACTGAATACCGATTCCGACCCTGTTTGTGAATTTTTGTGTACATATTGAATCCTTATCTAGAAATATACTCAACTTAGCTTTGAATTAATAAATAATATAAATTGACACATTAACTGAATTTACACGCTACATGCATGTAATTGTAAACAACAGGAGGTATGAGCATTAGCTGTGTGTTCATAAGGGGGGAGGGGGGGTACTCCCATATGAAACAGTCTGGGTGATTTAAACACAGGCACATATTTAGCTTCCATAAACTTGTAACAGAGTAGCATTTCTGCTCCTATATATGTAAAATATGTAATTAGAAAGCCATGACAAAAAGTGGTCAAGGCAGGAAAAGGCATGGGATAATGACTGAAATATTACATAACACAGTTTTACAAATAAACCCTTCACAGAAAGTTGTGCTAGGTTCCCTACATGAACTCATGGATTCTGAAAAACCTGTACCAGAAACCTGTACCATTTTCCATACCTGGAGACCCTGATTTGGGAAACCGGCCATGTCAAAAAATAACCAAATATGGAGTCATGAGATCTGCATGTGCCTTAATTAATTCATCTAGATCTGGGTTAGGATCTTGGAGAATCCCCTGATGTTGCTGTAGATGCCAAATAGAGACTGAATAGAAACTTTACAATGCTTTACATTATTAATTTGATTAGTTTTAGAATTTTTAAAGTTTGGAATTAATACATTATGAGAGTGCCACATTCATTTTTATAGAACTTATCTACACTATCATTTTAACAATTTATAGTAGTTTCTTATTAAGAATCAAATGATTCAATGCACAATTCTATAGTAATTTAACTTAATTAGGCCAAATGAAAAAAATTATGTGTTTCTGGTGACATATGCTAAAAAAAATTAGGCTAGGTAAGTAAGGAATAACTTTTTTTTACTTTACTGTTAATTTTGTTTACTTGTTTGTTTGTTGTTTAATGTCCCTTTCGAGAAATTTTCACTCATATGGAGATGCCACCACTTGTTGGTGGAGGGCTGCAAATTAATAGACCTATACTCCGCTCTCAGGGCCAATTTGAGCAGTGAGGGATCTTTTTCATGCCAGCACCTACTGTGACATAGGACCTCTGTTTATATGGTCTCATCCGAAGGACCGGTCTCCACGTCCCACAGTGGGATTCGAACCTGCAATCTAAGGATCAACTCCTCACTTCGCGACTCTAGAGCAAACACTCTAACCACTGCGTCACGCAAGCAACACTTTTTATTTTGAAAGCATCAATTAATTATTCTGTACATTGTTTTTCTATCATCATGATCATATACATGTACATAAACATACATGTATATGAATAAACAAACAAACACATATATATATATATATATAATATATATATATATATATATATATATATATATATATATATATATATATATATATATATATATATATATATGTAAAGTAGGAGTACTCTTTAAAACTCTTGGATGGATAGACAGGTTTTTACAGTGTACGAGACATGCATTTTATGGACTGCACTATAAGAAAACTTTACTATGAACAAAAGTATGATTCAAAATCTCGATTTGGAATAAAAAGTAGTAGAGTCGGTGGGGTAAAATTAGGTCAGCTGAGTTATGGGAAATACATGTTGTTGTTTTTTTCAGCCTAAGTTTGTTCAATTTGAATTTAATAAAATCATAACTTTCTTTATCATGTGATGACACAAAATGAAATAAGATTGTTAACTTAGGTTAAATCATCATTGATCAACAAAGACTATTTCAATGTCTGTCAGCTTGCATTGAAACATCCAAGGATAAAGATTTCAAATGGCTTCTATATTAGACTTACTTACTTAGACTTTTAGTTCAAAAGTGACAAAATCATTCAAGTTGACCTAAGTACAATTCCAAGTGATATACATGTATATTAGTTATGTATCTTTTATAAAGTAAGAAAGACACAAGCTATATTAGCTCAGGATCATGAATCCTTCTAATCTGATTTGCACAAAGGAAGTTATGATCATGCTATGTAAAAAGCCGTGAGATTAAAAATACATGTATATAGTTTGAACCAAATCTGCCTCATTCAAATTTTGTAAGTTAGAAACTGTCTTCTTGGGACAAGGATTCCTTGCCTACACAATGGTTTCTGTGCACAAGAACACCTTGCTTTCAGCCTCAGATTCTGTGTCCATATCTTGGGTATGTGGAGCCCGTACATCTTTTCTAAATTTCCTATATGGGTTCCGTGCCTTAACTGTGTCTATATATACTATGTCTATTTCACCTCAAAATTTTGGAAGAACACTATATTGCGACTCGATTTGTTTTAAAATATGCACATTAAGCAAAATAAAAGTTGTGTATTTCATAGATTTCAACAATTGGAAATGATAATATTATTAAATCACAAACTTCAACTCAACCTGAAAGTACAATTTTTTTAACAAGTAGAATTTCTCTTAGCATGCTTACCAATAGACGTACTCAATATATATGGGGTATACAGTCCACCAATTCATTTCCCATAGGCGACAATGTTAACCTTTTCTCACACTGTTTTAAATCCTTGCTTTACATTTTAGGATGGAACAACTCTCAAATAACATCTCAAGGTGGAATGTCAGATTGTTTTCCGGCCAAATGCACACATTCGCAAAAAATAAACATCTGAAAATGAAAGTAATTAAAACAATAAAAGTAGAGCATTAACATTTCCAAAATCTAGGGTGTGCACATATCAAACTATACAATTCCTTTCCTTTTAAGTTGCCCGCGTGGCGCAGTGGTTAGAGCGTCTGCTCTAGAGTCGCGGAGTAAGGAGTTGATTCTTACGTCGCGGGTTCGAATCCCACTGTGGGACATGGAGACCGGTCCTTCGGATGAGACCGTATAAACCGAGGTCCCTTGTCGCAGTAGGTGCTGGCACAAAAAAGATCCCTCACTGGCCATAAATGCCGAGTATAGGACAAAATTTGCAGCTCTCCACCGGCAAGTGGTGGCGTCTCCATATGAGTGAAAAATTCTCGAGAGGGACGTCAAACAACATACAAACAAAACAAACCTTTCCTTTAAAAGATATAATGTCGAAATCTTTCCAATGAACAGAGCCAAGGGAAAATTGAATGCACACTTTGGTGCTAATATGGTTGATTTAATGACCATTTTAAAATTTTTTTACTTCAGTGCAATTATCATGATTATGGTGCATGGCACAAGCCTTCAGCATATGCCAGCGAGTATGTTAATCTTTCTGTATGTCGATGCAGGTTTTTTAAGCTTTGTACATGCTGTAGTGTGGCAAAGCCTTAATTTGAAGAGGTGTGGAGCAACCTTTACATCTTTTGTGTGTGTATGTGAATTTACAAGAGTCTCACTTAGCCTATCTTCTTTTACGTGTTGGTATCACAGCTGTATCACATATCACGCTCACAAACACCACAGTGAAAGGTTTAAAATATATGCACAACCAAACTTTTGTGAAATATCTGCACTTGACTGATATCACATGCATGACTTAATAATTTTATACGTGACTCGAATGACCTCTGATTTGTTTATCATGTAAATATTTTGAACTTGTCATTTACACCTTTATATAACGTTTCTTACTCTATACTTACCATAAGGGGTATTTACATACTAAAATAAATCACAGAATGACATCGAAGGTATAATCCAATAAGTATTTCTATGTTATTAGGTTCACAATCAAGCATCACGCCACAACAGTACTAGTTACGATTAAGTAGTAATTCGTTCCGGTGATGACTCGGAATGAAATTTTACACAGAAAAAAAATGTTTATTACTTGAGTAAATTTGAGTAGAATAGGTTAATCAGACAATTTTTTTTACTAGAAATAAACATGGTAAATGGAGAGGGGGGAGGGGGAGAGGCATTAACAATGTTCAAATAGATATTTCTATATATAGTCCCTGATTAGACTAAGTGTAAAATTTATGCAGTTCTTCATATATACGATGGACAATGTTTAGCAATTCATGCACCGATCCAGTCCAGTCCACTCATATTTTTTTTATTTTTATTTTTTTATTTTATTTTATTTATTTATTTATTTATTTTTGATTTTTCAATTAAATTTGTATGGTGTAGTTTTTCTCGGGGGGGGGGGGGGGGATGGACAAGTTTGAGTTTTTTAAAATTTATCTATTTATTTTTTAAGTTTTGGGTAAATTTCTCAGTTGGATTTTTTTTGGGGGGGGGATGGAACAACCCCCCCCCCCCGGAAGAATTCCTGGATCATCTCCTTCTGATTAAACAATAGTGAACATGAATCACTAACTCTAATGAATAAATAAGGTAAAGTCTTGGAAACCACATTTTACGACTACCGTAATCACACCACATCAAGCCTAGAGACTGTAATTATTTCTCTTACACGGACAGGAAGGCAACTAATTATTAAAGTTTCCAATCTGAATACATGTACAAAAACTTGCAGATTTTCATATTTTGATTAGTTTACCAGCTTTAAGGACACATACAAGAAGAACTGAGCATACTTTATTTTTGGATGAAAGAGAACTCTGATCTTGTCTACATTAGCCGTTGTATTTTAAAAATGCATTTCCCCTTCTGATCAAAACAGTCTATCATACACGTACCTCCATTATAAAGATACCTAATCTTTCTCAATTCTTTTTATACAATACATGTGCAGGTGTTCCATTGTGACATACATCAGGGACATTGTATTAGAAAATATTTAAATGAATTTGTTCATTTGAAATTCTGTAAAATCAGTCGAGAAACATTTAAAATCGAAAAGTGTGATTCTTATATGGTGAGAACGTACTGTTAAATACTTTTGTAATCATACATATTTGGAGCAGTTTTTTTAAAATAAAGAATAAATTACAAATGAAATGCATGTCTTGGACAAAGATAAATAAGATAAATAATTTCTAACTTCATAAAATAATTTATTTAACTTCTGAACTGAAGATGTGTTGATGGCAATATGTGTGACTATAAAGGATAGAGATAATTCCAGTTCAGTTCATAACTAGAACAAAGAACCAGATACGTTTGATATATTACATGAAGTATAATTTTTTATATAAGTTGAACAGAATTAATTGATACGAGTGTATGAAATAGAAACATGTCAACATTATGAATAATTCGAGAAAATTCGAACTTAGACTCGATGACGACTGCAAATTATGCTTAACAAATGGATTGGGCCATGTAGTGGATTTAAAGTTATATGGAAATATATTTAAATAATTCTTTAACCTTAAAGTTTTATTTTGTGGATTAAAACTAAGGGATTTGAACATAAATTTTTCAAGGGCATATAAAAAACGAAATCTAAATATTCTATGTTTATCGAGTGATTGAATAATATCTTTGTATATGGAAACGATGTGATGTTTTGTAATTAACGCTTTAATTCACGGTGAAATCAACAGAAAATTAACTTACCTGATGAGATCATTTGTTACTTTGTAGAAAAATCGAGATCATTACACACCGGAAGTCGGCCATAGTATTAGTCTGCATTGCGCATGCGCTAGAATCAAAACCGAGTAAAGTGTGTAAGTGCCATTTTTTGATCATAAGTCGGCGTGTGAAAATACGGGTGTAAACCGTCAAATGACACCAACTTTTTTTCTCGATTTTTTGGGCATAAATAATCGAGAACTACCCATTTTTCGTAAAACGGCAACTCACTACAGTGATTACTGTAGTGATTTGAAAAACTGTAGTGAGTTGATTGATGTGTCAATAAGTACCTGAGCTGAGTTGAAGGTGTTTACAAACGCACCCTCACACACACACACACACCCTGTGTGTTTGTAAACCCTGTCAATTGGACACGTGCTTTAGACGGCACACGTTTAAATGAACACGGAAAAATCCAAATGAACACGAAATGGTGGTGTTCAGTTGGATTTTATCATAAATCAACTGGAAAATGTCCTAGGATGCATCCCATTTCAAAAAAATGAAGTGTTAATTTGACCGGATGCATGAGATCTGTGTAATGAGTGTGTATAAGATGACCACGGATCCATCATTTTTTCTTCTCGGCGAGACTTACACACATTGCGAGTGCGCATGCTCGTTACATCAAATGACGTCGTAAATGACATCATAATACAGTACCCGTTTCACACTTAGTCATGTACATGAGGACGAAGTAAACTTTGTAAAAGGTAAGTAAAAAATCTGTAAATAAATAAATTAAAAATTTTATGTATTTAATAATATGGCCTATGAATTAATGAGTAAAGATATGTGTCCATTATGACATTACGGCATTATTGTCTACTCAATATTTTTCCTACGGTATGTATACATGTATATGCTGTATAGTTACAATGTGCATCGTTGCATGATTGCAGTATAAATGGTTTTAACCAATATACTAAAAGTTATTATTATTAATGTTAGTAAAAACATAAAGAATTTTTTTTCTATATCTACATGTATGTCTCTGGGAAAATAAACACGTTCCGTATTGGCATTTGTTGTACTCGCGGAGAGAAACTATTTATGCATCTAATATTTCAATTTTATTGAATCAACGTTGATCTTTTGCAATGTGTAGCAAAATATATTGTCAAAAATTTTAAATGTTTTCTTGCGTTTCGCATCTTGTTTATGTGTCATGTCAAGTTCGGAGGTTTCGTATTAAAAACGAAAGTAGAGTCGGTCACGCCGTGTGTTATGGGCAGGGGAAACGTTCAGTCTGCCTGGGTTATATATAGGTACGTGGGCTGCTAAAATCATTGTTAATATTGTGTACACATTAAGCTGTCAACTAAAAAAACACATGTACTTCTGAGGCGTGAATATTAGAAATAATTTCTGCACATTTAAATTATGAAAGGGGGGGGGGGGGCAGCTGTTTACTTCTCCCAGGGACATAATGATATAATTGTTAAGCATGTATAGGTCCCTGCTTCAACGTGATCTTCTAGCCCTGACAAACTGAAGATATAGTGCAGCTTATAATATAAGTTGATATTTATGTCAAAGACATGCTGTGCATTTAGACAGTGACATGCCCTAATTTTAATGTACAAAGATTTCAAAGTATGAGAATTTAAAGATTGATACTTGTCATTTTATTGACATGCATTCATTATTGCATTGGGACAATTTTGAGAGAATATGTAAATATAGCTGTGACAGGGACCTATATACTAGTATATAGGTCCCTGACTGTGATGATTCATGAAAATGATGCGACTTCTACTAAGTTACAGTCATTAAAGAATATTTTCCTATTTATTTATCATCCTGGAATTCATGTTTTAAAACTGATGTTATTATTATAATACATTTCAGGTAGATTCATTGATTTCGGATCAGAAAATTATCAATGTTCATGGATTCCCAGAACACAGCAGGGAGAAGTTTATGGTATGAATGCAATTATATAATATTCATTTAATAGTGAAAATTAATTTAAGCTACATGTCAGGAAAAAAACAAACACTACCTGAAGTTCTAATGATCTGAGTTCATGTTCATGATAATGTGTTTGTGTATCAGCATGATCTGTATACCTTTTCCTGCATTGTTTCATACTACAGTCATGAATCAGTGTTTTACATGTAATATTTATTTACCTTAATGACAGTCTGTTGGCCCAAGACCGGCAAATATTTGGGAGGATCAATAAATTTAAAATTAAGTCTGTATGTTATCACTTAATTGTGCCAGTATAAAAAAATTAAAGGTTCAGTTTAAAAGACAAAGATGGAACTTCACCAGTGATACATGTAGTCCAGATAAAGAGTAAAATAAAATTATTTAAATGGGATATTAAAAAAAAGATGTTTGCAACTGACAGTCATACCAATAATTTTCATTATTTAGCTATTTTCCATAATAAACAGGACAGATAATTAATACTACACAATTGGCCATTGTTGTCATTGGGGTATACCATGTAATGTATTAATATATTAAACAAATAAGAACTACTATAAATTCTCTTTTATTGTGTGCACACTTTTATTTTCAGCAAAAAACAAAAAAAACAAAAAACAAAAAAACAAAAAAAAAAAAAAAAACAAAGAAGGAGGGATACACACTTATACATGTATTTATTGGGGTATAATGCAACCACTGAAATTCAAAATGAAGAGATTTACTTCCATTCAGGGATTTAAAAAAAAAATAAATGAAAATTAAGATTTTCCAAATGCAGAGAATACAAGTATGTTATATGGAATTATGATTGAACATTTACAAATATTTATAAATCCTTCAAAAGTTTTCTATCATTAAGGGTGTACATCATAGAGACATAAATAACAGAGATTTGCAGCTGTTTGAAATCTTGCAGTTTTTTTAACTCACTCCCACTCTAACATGAGGCACTGGAAAATGCAGGGAAAAGTCATTTTTGTTTTTTTTGGGGGGATTAATTATGCATAAATTAGTGAAGCTAACATTGGCATTATGTAAAACTGGATCTATTAGCAATTACCGGTAGAATAAAAAAATCAAAAATTTCAACAGGTTTTATGATTTTTCCCCTCAAAGTAATAAAAAATGTAATCACACTAGATGACTCTGCTCACTTATTTACATTATCAATAGAAAGGCCAGAGAAGCTACATTTTATATATATACATGTATATATATATATATATATATATATATATATATATATATATATATATATATATACAATACATGTATATGCTTTTAAAGCAGAAACATTCCTTTATTTCGACAGTTGTTCATAAGTTAACCATAATTGTTAACATTATCTATTCAACGAAATTAAATCCCACATGAAATTTTACATTTCAGTATAATGAATAGGGTTACATTCGAAACAATGAAATTTAATGCCCACAAAACCTTCTCAGATAACAAATAACAAAATTTTATCCCCACGAAAATTTGTGCATCTACAGTATATAATCAACACCTTAATGCGAGTAAAACTTACAGCAGATGCATTTAGTATTTTTAAGTGCAGTGACTGGAAAAGCACAGTAATTACTCAGACCAAAGTCAACTTAAATCATTATTTAGTGTTAAGGAACAAGTTGTTTGTAAGTATATTAAAAATACTAAACAAGACAATAAAAGACAAGACAATAACAACAAAAAATATAAGGGGCCTCATAATCTTTTAGAGGGAATCATTATTAAATAATGTTTGATATCGATTGACTGGCAGACCCTGTAAACCTGAGTGATCAATTATGTTAAGAGAAGTTTGTTAATAAAGAGTATCTGTTACCACTTTAACCAGATTATTAAAATTTCATTTAAAAGGTAAACATGTTGTTGATAGTGAACAAGTCTGTGTGCCAAGAATATTATATGAAATTTCAAATGAACAAGAAATGTTATCATCTGTGTATTACTTAGATTGCATAAATTAAGCTCTCTGTATATATTTTTTGATGGAATTAGAAGAAATCTGAAAGATTGTAACCCCTTCCCAATTTTTTACCCTCCATGATTATTTTAATTTCAGTTTTCACATACAAATCAATTACACTCTATGTCAATTTTAAATTATATTCCACTTGAATATACTGTACACCAAAGAGCTCTGATTTTATGGTATTTTATGGAGATAGAGACTAATTCGCCCTGGGGTCTAAATCAAATTTAATAAATCTATTGAAATCCTAGCAGTCTGTTATTGAATTTTAGTCAATGCAAGCATTCTTAACAATTGAATAAGAAAATCATATTTACGGCATACATAATGAGCTAATCAGATCTACTTTACTTTCTTGAATTTCAACATGTTCAGCATAGGGTACATTACACCCTAAGAAAAATATTCAAAGACATTAAAGTATTGATGAACAGAAATCTCTACACATTGTTTATTTAAGTGAGAAAACACATGCAAATAAAGTATTCAATTTATTTATCTTGGACTAAAAACATTTTTGATTTAGTGTATGGAGGGTCCTTAACAGTCCTTTAATTGTCTTTAGTCTAATCGGGATCGGTATTCAACTTAACATTCACTTTCATTTTAATCATGCGAATGTGATTTTGACAGCTGAAAAGAATATGTATTAACTGGTTGTGAAACTTTGTTGAGGGTGTACAGTATGAGATATGTACATTTTATGTCGTCTTCACAAGGAGGGTTTAATTCGAATTGAACGTAAGTTAATACAAATTAAATTTGAACCACATTCACATGGAGAATTTAATGCAAATAAGTTAATTCAAATTAATTTACTGCGCATCAAATTTCTTTGCATTAACTCCGTGTGAACACTAAGCAATGCAATAATTAGAATTAAATTTTGATGCATGCGTAATATAGCACGATTACATGTAAGCCACATGCCATATGTTTGTGGTCAGGTACATTATTTACATGATTAAATACAATGAAACAAATGAAAGCCACCAGTCCTCCTCAATGTTTGGAAATATAGGATTTTTTTTAATATGATGACCTGAAGTTGAAAATACACTGTTTTATAAATAACTATATTTTGTATTTCCTGTCCTATACATACTAACGGTACATTACTAGATATATTATGTATAATGATATACTGATGATGCTTTATCAATGGATAGTAATTATTCATTTTTATTCCTACATTAACTTATTCAGGTGTGACCGGTTAACAGAGGATGCTTACTCCTCCTAGACACCTGATCCCACCTCTGGAATTTCCAGAGGGTCCTTGTTTTTTGCCAGGCACTTCACAGATTTGTATTGCTTATAGATTTTCTTAGATTGATCACTATTCATTATATTTAATTTTTTTCATTCACATGTATATCTCTTTGAACTCAAAATTGAAGACACCACAGAGGCTTATACATCTGTTTCATATTTGAATATTTACTAAAGACATTAATGGCAAGGTAACAATTAAACTTTATGATAAACACGTAACTTTAATTTTTCTATTATTAACTTCTCTTACTTATGTAGCATTATCACCTGCATATGGAGTTTAAGTCTCCCATTTGATTCAAAGGGCAAGAGCATGTGTACCAAGTACAAACAATAACTAAAATGAGGCAAGCTATTGGCAAATAAGTTGATGATACAGGTATAGCCAACATTTTGCAAATTCTGTGTTTGTTACAATGACCTTTTTAACAAATACAGTCTACAGATAAGTCAAGTGTTTACTGATGTTTTCATACAGAAATTGTTAGGCTGTTATTTTCATACTGAAGTGTCTACAGATTTATCCATTCACCCTATTATGACAAGGAGCTCACAGCAGGTGTAACTAGTTGACAGGGGATGCTTATTCCTCCATGATAACTCATCCCACCTCTTTTGAGCTTGAATACTGTTTGTAATCTTGATATTTCATTAAAGGTCTTCAACATTCTAATAGATGGGAATCACTTTATCTTTTCAGTTATGAACATTTCTTAGCAACAAACCCTGTAAGAAGAAGGACGTCTGTTCTACAGCTTGTGGTGGATTATAGAACACATGATATCAACCAAGTTTAAAGGAAGCATGTATAGCCACATTAGAAAGATTTAAGGATTGTGAGAAACCAAATATGACAAATCAGAATAAATTCCATGGGAGTGTGAAAAAAAAGAATAGTAGAGTGTAATCCTCAGGACTTTCTTCAGACTTCCATAAAGTCAGGAAATACTGTTGAACTGACAAAATTAACAAAAATCAATTGATTGTCAAAAATTCAAGGAAGATGTGCAAGTTAAGACTAAGACGGATTTTAGGAGTTTTGATGACAAAGAATCAACCTTTGGAAATATGGCTTTAAACTAGGATCTCTTTATTGGTAATTGAATTAAACATTTATCTTGATTGTTAATAACCTAACAATTATGATTACTACCATTTAATTTTAACTAATTTTTACATATAGTTTCTCTCATTGATTTTTTTAAATACATATATTTTCAATTTTCATGAAAGCTAAAGGACAAGGTGCATGTATGACTTTACACCCCCTCCCTCTTTTTGAGTTTTTAGCTCACCTGAGATGAAAGCTCAAATGAGCTTTTCTGATCACATGTCTGTCCGTCCATCTGTAAACTTTTCACATTTTCAACTTCTTCTCAAGAACCACTTGGCCAAATTTAAGCAAAGTACAAAACATTCTTGGGTAAAGGGGATTCTAAATTGTTAAAATGAAGGGCCAATTTCCCTTCCAAGGGGAGATCATCAGGAAAATGCAAATAGGGTGGGGTCATTGTAACATCTTTTTTCAAGAAGCAATGAGACAGAAAAGCTGAAACTTATATGGAAGCTTCCTGAGGTAGTGTAAATTCTAAATTATTTAAATCTTGCCACCGGTGGGGGGGGGGGGGGGGGGGGGGGACACGATGGGGCCACAATACTTACTTACTTATAGGAAAAATCTTTAGATATCTCCTTCTCAAGAACCACTGTGGCAGAAAAAGCTGAAACTTATATAAATGCTGCCTAAGGAATTGTAGATGATGAATTGTTCAGATCATGGCCCCTGGAGGTAAGGTGAGGCCTCAATAGGGAATGGATGTTTTACATTGAAATATATAGGAAAAAAAATCTTTAAAAATCTTCTTCTCAAGACTACTGGACTAGTAAAGATAAAATTTAGTTGAAAGCTTCCTGAGGTAGTGTAGATTGTAAATTGTTCAAAACATGTCCCCCGGGGGTAGGGTGGGGCACAATAGGGGATCAAACTTTTACATTGAAATATATAGGGAAAAATTTTAAATATCTTCTTCTCAAGAAATATTGGACTAGAAAAGATGAAAATTAGGTGCAAGCTTTCTGGGGCACAATATAGGGATTATATTGGGTAAATCTTTAAAACGCTTAATTCTTCTCAAGAACAACAAAGCCATGATGAATCATATTAATGTGGAAGCATCCTCTGGTAGCGTAGATTCATTTTTTTTTAACAAATAATGGCCACTATATATATGATGGGGCCACAAAATACAATCAAAATTTTACATAGAAATACATGTATATTGGGGGAAAACCTGTTGCAGAACAGCAGGGCCAAAGTGACTCAGGTGAGTGTTGTGGCCCTTAGGCCTCTTGTTTTGTTGTCAGCCCCTAGCTTTGCTTTGAATCTAATCTCATAAATGCTTTCTCATTCAAAAATTACAAAGTCTAGAGTAAAGATTCATTGAGTTAAAAGTAGGGATGAGTATCGAAATGCAAAAAAAATTAATCATGACAATATTTTGACTTAATTGTGTTTTATGATATATATTGATGCATATCACTTTTTTTTTACTTCTGTTCTACGTGTTCTACTGTAGAATATAAAAAATCATAAAAGTTTTCACTGTAAAATTGTTAGGAATAAATGCATTCTTCAATCATTATGAAATAAGGTTTGTTTATAAGGCCAAATAAAAAAATATGTGTGGTTCCGGTTACCCGACCTTCCCTATTTTATACCCCCGACCCTAACTTTTTTTTTGGGCAATTTTCATATTTTTTCCGGAATTTCAATTTCCATCAATGGCTCCAGTTTAAGTTTTAGTTTCAGCAATGACGGCCTCCTTGCAAAACATATTGCAAGTGTTAAATAGTGTTAATTCCAAAGCAAGCTAGCATATAGGTGTCCCCTACCAATATTGACTAGTATATTATCACACCACATCTAAATGCCATTTGCAAAGCAGTGATAGGTATTATTTAGAAAAAATTAAGAAAATCATTTTGTTAAAAAAAAAAGAAAAAAAAAAAAAATCCCTACCTACCTACCCTAATTTTTTTGGAAGTGTAACCGGAACCACACATATTTTTTTGTTTGGCCTAAATATAATTTATAGAATAATTAATACAAAATTCTATATCTCAAAACAAAAACAAACAAAAAAAAAAAAAAAAACAAAAACAAAAAAAAGAAATTACATTTTGTAAAGTACAGTGTACTTTACAATGACTTGAATTCTTTTCTAATTTTTAAATTGACAAATAAAAAAAAAAGAGTTAAGATAATTTATTGCTTTTAACTGGAAACCAACTTCAGTTGAAAGGTATCTCCATACATGTATTATTAACTGGTATAACAATACACCCCTAATTAAAAGACTATGTGTGACAAATAAAGGACATATAGATTTAATGAATTTATAATTGCAATAAAATCATTAGATACTTTTAGATAAAATCTGTTGAAAGCAGACATGTCAGTTAATTTTGTAAATTTAACCGATAAGAGGGATATGCTGAAGACATTAAGTGTATATGTAGACAACATATTTAAACAAGAGTACATGTTTCAAGGAACACATGTGTCACCTGCTTTGTAGTTTCATTTCAGGTGTAAACAAATCTATGAGTGCATGGTCAGCTTTTTACTTATTAATAATTACTATATATAAAGTATGATAAACTGATAGTTCATGCATTTGCCTGTAAAAAAAAAAGACATACATGGATTAAGTATACGACTGCAATAGAATCTGACAATCAAAGAAAATATGGTTCCTTAACCCTCAAAGACATGTCAAATAAACATTTAAATTTGAATTTATTAGAAATAACTATTTATCATTTTATTAATTGTTTCCAACAATCCTCCAAAAGATTTCAGTCTGTCTTTACTGCAACCATTGTCAGTCTTCACGATCCATTGTTGAATACTGATCCCGATGTATTTTTATGGTATTTTGAATGCATGTATAAGTTTGTGTGGTATCAGAATATTATACAGTTTCAAAGTACTTTTTCATGAGCTAAACATGTTTCCAATAAGCATTCAAAAGAGATTTCAGTCTATCTTTACCATGTGTTCACTGCAAATCTTAGTCTACATGATCCATTGTGAAATACCCATCACGATTTATTTTCATAGTATTTGAATATATTAAAGTTTGTCTGGTAACTGAATATCATAGCCGGTTTCAAAGTACATAATCATGAGATCATGAACATATATTAATGCTAATTATCTAAACCCTGCCTCTCAAAATTCAATATTCATAAGTTTAATTAACTGCCCAAGATATTTTTTGCAAATTAGGTCAAATGTCAAGGTCAAGTGGATTGTAATGCTGATATTTTTTATATTGCCTTATGACAAATAGTATACATGCTAAATAGCATAGACTTACCTATTAATGTCAAATATATGTTGTATATCAGCACTATGAACTATTTTAAAGGTCAAGGTCAAAGGTCACAAGGTCGGTACCTCCATGATAATTTACAAAAGCTGTAGTGCCAAGCAATGTATGTGCAAAACATCAAATCCATACCTCTAACAGTTCTTGAGATATAGGGTGTGACAGACAGACGGACAGCTAGACACAGACAGATGCTTGGTAAAGTGATCCCTCAGTGCCGATCTGCAGGCGACACCGAATAGTGAATGAATTCTAGCAATGGACAGGCTTTCTACAGCGCAGTGTATATATGTGAAAACTTCCTACACACAATATTGTCATTAAAAAGCCCCTGCAACCTTTACATCTAATATTCTTGATAATTACTTTCTTCAAATTTTAATCTGCCATAGCAAGAATGATGCAAGTGATGAAAAATATTTGCTAAAAAGGATCAATTAAAATTTCTAATGTTTAAAAAAATGTTTTCTTTACTCTTTATTCATCATAATTTTATGTGAATCTAGTTTTAAATTTTATATTCTGTTTTAATCACCAAATGTAAGATTATCACTATTTAGAAAAAAAAATCTCAATTAAAAAAAAGTTGGGTCTTTTAACTTTTGAGGGGGTGTAAACTTCTTATTTTATTAGTCCCCTGTGGGTGAAACTGGAGGGGACTATAGGTTTTCTCCTTCACGGTCTAACTGTCAGTCTGTTCCATTTGCTTTTCCACACTTCTTTGTTTTATTACAGCTATGCTCTGAAAAGTGGGGTTTTCCTTTTAATTTATTTAGTAAGCATGTTCTACATGTTCTACATGTATATGGCACATCATGTTCATGTACACATGTACTTAGAGATCAATATTTTTATGATGTTCATTTTTAAATTAATGAATAAACTACTGTTTTAGAGAGTCTTCAAAATATTTGCACACCGTATGTAATTATTTTAATCCCCTACCAGTGACACCGGAGGGGAGTATAGGTTTCCCCCTTATCTGTCCATCAGTCTGTCTGTCAGTCTTCGTCACTTGGTTTTCTGGATTTTTTTTTTCTAAACACTCGCAGATACATGTGTATTCAGCTGATTTTAAGTATATGTGAGTGTACCTGGATAAGTTACAGATCAAGTTTGCATTTCATTACACTTTGTTGATTTTTGACAGAATTATAGCCTTTGGGAACCAGATTACTGTGACTTGCCAGAAGGCTTATGCAATACTCTCAAATGATTGTTATTTTGAAATTTATTTTCATTTACAAATAACAATTAACATATACATATAACAGTAGAATGTATAAGGATTACATTTAAAACAAAAATAGCACATCATAAGTACATGTACATTGTAGGGCAACATACAGTTTATAAAATGATAATGTATAAATATGCAGGAAGGATTTTATGATTGGAAGTGTTTTTTTTTTAAAAACATGCTTGATTAAATGATCATTTAAATTTAATTTCAATATAGATGCATGCATGATGGTGGGCTGAAGAAGAAAACCAGGACAAATGAAAATTCCTAGTGTTCATCAGAAAAAATGATCGAATCATGCAGCCATTTTGAGTGCTTGAATGCCCA